ATACTAAATAGTACATTTTATCTCTGAAGCAGACGACTTCTCAAAAATTGTAGACCAGTGTAATTTTTTCTTCCAAATAAATTCAAATATTTTTGGCCCTTGTCAGGCAAGGTTGATCTACAACCATGCTTTGACCTTTCAGTGACAATGTCTACTACTAAAAGAGTTATGAACTGGAAGGGAAAACAGGAACTGTGAGTCCTTGGGAGATAAATAATATTTCTTGTCAACTCTCTTACGTGTAGCTGGAATGGTGGCTGACTCATCCAAACACTTTTCGCTGGCTCAAATAACGCTTTGTTGATTGGAAGCATCACCCATTGGAAGATAACTGAAGTATACCCAATAATATGAGTTGAGATTCTCGAATTGCCTTTAAAGACATTTGTAAAGCATCAGCAATTCTTTTCATCGGTTCTTGAAACAGTTTAAAATCATCCGCACAAAATGGAGGTGAAGGCATGACAGCCTCACCCTGCAAGGTCGATGTGATGTTTTGAGAGACAAGTGATTCATCCCCTAGCTGTTGCACTTCCTGACATTATATGTCTTCATTCTGAACAGAGTGAATAGGAAGAGGCTGTGGCAACACTGGTTGTCTTCCATGAATCTTCTCATTGGAATGCTTTTGCACCGTCACATATCTATCCCCAAAAGGTTCCCACATGTTCCAAAAAGGCCATTGTGATGCCCCATATGCGAGAGAGGGAGGGCTCCAGGGAGGCTGGTACCAGGGCATATGAGAGTGATAATGTAGATTTTCATCCCAATTAGGTATTGAATAAACCCTTTCAGAGACAATCCCTGTAGAAGGAAACCTGTAAGAGTAAGTGGGTGAACTGGGCACACACTGGTGAGAATCTTAGGAAAAATCTTCTTAATCAATGGCTCCTTAAAAAGAGATTTTGTTCTTCTCTAAAAATCTGTAACAACCCCTCACTATTAATCTATCCTAACTACACAAACTAATATAACTATGTATATATAAACACTACAAGTAAGTGAGAAGCTAGCTATGCAGACACCACAGCATTCCATTACATGCCACACATGGTTGAGAAGGAATTGCAGCTGTGGGTGGTCCTGTACTGCCCTATGTATCTTAAGTATAGAGCATGAGGACAGCTAGGGTGTACCTATGGATCAACCAGACATTGATAGCAAGAAATATAATCAAAGGCACATGGGGTATACGCGCACCTGAAGTAGACAACCCATAGGAACTCTCTAGAAGAAGAAAATCTGTATTATTTTTGATCTGTCATCCAGATTAGTTCTATACATCATACTATAAATACGCAATGTCCTGAAACTATCCAATATAAGAAATAAGCTGATTTATGAAACGGAAATCCAATGGGCTGCCAAAGGGCACATATGACAGCCTACTCTAATCTTCAGTAGTGTATAAAGTCTCAATACAAAATTTATGCGTGGAATCAACATTTGTAAAAAAAAACAAAAGGAGTTGGACCACCACCACCAATGTTATTTTCCCCACACCCTTTTTCTCCCTTTCTTTTTTGACTTCTATTTTTTTCCTCTTTTCTGTCACCCTTTCTTCATTTTCCTAAATCTCTCTCTTCCTCCCACTCCATAGCATTTGCTAACCTCTCCTCTTTTCTTGCTTGGTGGTTTGTTCTATTACATATTCGCTAGTATTTGCTTTATGAAGAGATACCAACAATCATACATACCGGTAGTATTTTCTAGACCATCCACAATTCCTTGTAATTTTTTAGAAAACTGTCTTCTATTGGGAATTAAAAAGATATCTGTACAGAATGATGAAGAACTAGGAAAGAAAATAATCAACATTCTGAATATTGGTAATACATTTAAAAAAATGTGCATACTATTATAGAGGTTTCAACTAAAATAGACTCATAGACTCATAGACTTTAAGGTCAGAAGGGACCATTATGATCATCTAGTCTGACCTCCCGCATTATGCAGGCCACAAAGCCGTCCCAACCCTTTCCCTTGACTCTGCTGTTGAAGTCCCCAAATCCTGTGGTTTAGAGACTTCAATTAGAAGAGAATCCTCCAGCTAGCGATCCCTGCCCCATGCTGTGGAGGAAGGAGAAAAACCTCCAGGGCCTCTGCCAATCTACCCTGGAGGAAAATTCCTTCCCGACCCCAAATATGGCGATCGGTAGAACCCGGAGCATGTAGGCAAGATTCTCCTGCCAGACCGCCAAATGCCCACTTTTACCCCATTACTATCAGCTGTTATACTCTGAATAGTGTGTTGTTAAATATGTTTCTAAGACTACACTTACCATTCCTGTTTTAATTCTGCTTTATTATCTGATTCAGGGTTGACTTCTGCTTTGCCTGCTATAGAAAAGAAAGCACAAGTATTGAACAAAATTCTAATGTCTTACCTCCTAATTTGGTGTCTTATATCCCTTAACATGCTAATCAGTCCAAACAGTGGTTGTAACTTCTTCTACCAACAGATGGAAACAGGAAAAAAGTCAAGTGTGTGTGACACTACTCTCTTTTTATGGAGATAAGGGTGCTGGCAGGCTCAATGCCCTCAGTTTGAGACTTCCTGAGCAATAGAAACAAAATCTAAGAAAAATGTCAATTAAAATTCCTAAAAGACAAGTAATTCAGAGAAAAAGAGTGTCCTGGTCCAACAACATTGCTGCCCAAATTGAGTGGAATGGCATATTAAGAAGAGTAGAGAACAGATGGGTTACACACCTTGTAGTAACTTGAGTTCAAGATGTGTTGACCCTATATATAGTGAACATTCAGATTGTGAATGTGCTCCATGTGCCCAGAACCAGAGACCTTGTTGTTAGCAGTGTCAGGAGGGTCTGAGCATGCACCCCCACCATCCTCATGCTCCACCCTAAAGGAATAAAGAGGGCTGCTAGACCGCTGCCATTTTAGTTCCTTTCTACCGCTAGTCTCCAGTAGGGGGAACCAGGTAGTGCAGAAGGAGAGCATGTAGTATACAACACACAGGAACAACACATCTCAAAGAACTCAAGTTACTACAAGGTGAGTAACTCATCCTTCTTTGACTGATTGTCCCTATCTATAGTGAACTTCAGGTGATTCATATGCAATGCCTCTTTAAGGAAGTGGGTTCCTTGAGTCCTATGGCACAGTAAATTGCAGAACTGCCCTGCCTAGGGAAGCATCAAAAGCAACTCCTTGCACCAGTGCCTGTTGTCTAGTGAAGGTGTGTACAGAACTCCAAGGTGCTGCTCTGCAGAAGTCAGTAATAGGAACTTCTCTAAGGGAAGCAACCAATCCTGCCTGAGCACTAGTCAAATGAGTTCTCACGCTGCCCTCAAAGGAAATATAATTCATCTTGTAGCAGTCAGATGCACATTGAGATCCATTTCAGCACCATCTGGGAGGAAAGAGCCTCTCCTTTCATAAATTCCACGAATGAGAGAGTTTATGGGATTTTCAAAATGATTTTATTCTTTGTAGATAAAAGGCAAGAGCCCTGAGCATGTCCACTGAAAGCCATGAGACCTCCTCTCTGATAGAACAAGGCTTACGTAAAAATAGAGGTACATAATCTGGTTGATGTGAAATTCCAACACCTCCTAAGAGATAAACTACAGATGTAGTCTTATGAATACCTTGCCCCTCTGAAAAACTGTACAGGGAGGGTCAGCCATAAGCACCCCTAGTTCCCTGACCCCAATTCTTCTGGCTGACTGGATAGAGACCCGAAATGTTATCTTCTGAGAAAGATATAGAAGACAGCAGGATGCCGGGGCTCAAACGATGGATGAGATACCATAAGGTATAAGCTGAAGGAGCTAAGACATAGCCCTAAGGCAGTGGTCCCCAAACTTTTTAGGGTTGCATCCCCTTACCCGTCTGCACACACACACACACCCCAGCCAGGGCCAGGAGCGGGGCTGTGGGGCATGGATGGGGTAAGGAGGCCGAGGCTGGGGCTGCAACTGCGGGTGGGTCTGGGTCTGAGTCCAGGTCCAGGTTTGCGGTCAGGGGCCAATGCTGGGGTAGGAGTGGAGCTGCACCTGGTCACGGGCTTGGCTGCTGGCCCCCCACTGCAGCCTGGCTGCGGCTACGCTCTCAGTCCCAGAGCCGCAGCCATGGAATGGAGTTAAGGCCATATGGAAAATCATTACTAAAATTAGGGAAGATAGGGATCAGTACAAGCATTGTAAGCTGGATAAGAAACTGGCTAACGGAGAAGGCAACGGATTGTGCTTAGGGATACAACTCTCTGGGGGTTCCTGGTCTATTTTTTCATGGCTGTCTCAGTGGGCAGGGGACCCCTTCGACCTGTCTGACTAGTAGCCCCAGGGCGTATCAGAGTTAGAGACGGAAGGCTGGGTGCAGGCTGGCCGCAGGCTGGCCATAACTCACTGTCAACCAAGCCTGGGAATGCTGTCTCACACACAGAGCACTACTTGGATTGGCTCAACCCTTACTTGAGGACAGGGACATAGATGGGTACCACAGTGATATCAGAAGCAGCTGAAGTCCTGGTGCCAGGCGTTGAGGTCTGGAGAGGGAGATAACTCTGGTTCTGGAAGCAGTAGAAGGTATTCTAGAGCTAAGCAGAGAGCTAGAGTCATTTCTATAACTCAGATCATTGAAGTAGAAGATATTGATCCAGCGGTACCAATGAGGGTTTTGGTGCCAGAGAAGCAGCCCCAGTATTGGAAAGTGCCACAATTTTGCCCTTCAAAATTTCAGTCCAGTCCTTCCTGGTACTAGGTGGTTCTGCTCCAGAGCAGAAAGCTCCCAACGACTTGGTTCAGGACAGGGACTCCTGCCACTGTCTAGGAAGTTTGGATGCCATTAGGCTTACTTGGGGAGTTCCCCCTTTGCATCAAACCAAAATGAATGCTGACTGATGAAGCACTTTGAGATGAATCTAACCAACACATCTAGTGGCCATTCCAGCTGTCTGTAGAGATTCTCAAATGCCACATCTTCAGATGCTGGTTGAAGTATATGAGGAACTCTTGAAAACAATTAGCATGTACCTGTCTTTGTGAAATTATCTAATTACGGTACTTAATTCTTGCCAAACCTGACACCCAGAAAAAGACAGCAAATATTCTCCAGAGAAAGATGCATATGAGGAATATCTGGAAGCAGTTTGCACATTTTATTGACTGACCACAGATATTTTCCATAAGCAATGTGGTAGGAAGCTTGTGAAAAAGACATAGTTTTAGCTTCCGGAAAGTTTCCTGCAGAGAGAAACAAACATCTCAAGATGGTATGCCACTATAAAGATTAAGCTTAATCAAGGGACTGCTGGTCTCCTTCTCAAAAACATTATTTTTATTCCCCATGTTTCAATCACTGGTATGTGAAGTTACAACCAAGTATTTGGGCTAGCTTACAGCAGTAATTAGAAAACATGAAAAATGATAGAGTATCACACACACACCTTAACAGATGTAAATGATTTTTTTAAATATAAAAATACTTAGAAATTAAATGCACTTCATTAGCCACTAGTAAGGCCAGAAAATACAGTAATCTTTAAATAAAAATGTTATTGCTACATGCAAAAATACTAGCATTTACATAATATTCAATCTCTACTGTGCTACTGGATATACTCTAAATCCTATTTCAGTAATAGTTTACACGTCAGTTTCATATATGACACTTTTCTTTATTCCTAAAGGACTCTGTTTATCTTACCAGAAAAGTCAGTTTTTCCTTGACTTAATTTAAATGTCTCTTGTTTCTTTGTATTTTCCGACAGCTCCTCACATGCCCTTTTACTGTTACTCTGGGACCAACTTTTCAAATTTTCATCATCTTTTAACCTTTGCTTCAGAAACTCTACTGAGGTCAGTGAAAAATAATCATCATCTTGCATCTCACAGGGCTCCAGATCATCCTCCGGATGACTGCCCCTATCATTAATCTTCTCAAAAGGAATTCTTAGACCTATATTTACTTCAAATACTGGTGCATATTCTTGCTCTCCTTCCAGTTGCTTTTTTACATCTTCTAGCACCTAAATTGATATACAGATATTATTAAATTGCAAGGATACATTAAAATATTTAATATAGCATTTTTCTTACAAACTGTATCCCAAAACAGAAATAAAAGCCCAGAACATCAGACTATACAACAGCATAAATTACAAGTATCAGTTTTGTGAAAACACTGTACAGTGAGAAAAAAAAAAAACATCTGATCCTAAAACCAAAAGCTGAGGGAGATTATTGATTATCATCAGTGTAAAAGTGCCAATTAAAAAGTAGATGTATGAATGTTAGAAATAATTATTCCAGATACAAAACAGAGCCAGAACTTCTGATCTGGAGATGACAGGATGAAATCATTAGACCATTACAGATAGGGACTAGTCAGAAGTGAATTTTATTACCAATTCTGTCCTTGGTTTCAACATAGGGTGACCAGACAGCAAGTGTGAAAAATTGGGACAGGGGGTAGGGGGGTAATAGGCACCTATAGAAGAAAAAGCCCAAATCTCAGGACTGTCCCTATAAAATAGGGACATCTGGTCACCCTATTTCAACAAGTCACAAAACTGTGCTTCATTTTTCCCTAATTCCAAAATGGGAGTAGCACTTATCCTAGGGGTGGGCAAACTTTTTAGCCTGAGGGACACATCAGTTTCCGAAATTGTATGGAGGGCAGGTTAGGGGAGGCGGTGCCTCCCCAAACAGCCAGGCATGGCCCAGCCCCTGACCCCTATCCAACCGCCCCCCTGCTTCTTGCTCCCTGATGACCCCCCTGGGACTCCCATCCAACCCCCTGTTCCCTGACGGCCCCCCCAGGACCCCGCCCCATCCACCATTCCCGCTCCCTGTCCCCTGACTCCCCCTTTCAGCCCCATCCAACCCACCTTCTCCTTCCTGACTGCCCCCATTCAACCCCCGTTTCCCGCCCTCTGATTGCCCCAACCCCTATCCACACACCCGCTCCCTGACCACCTCCCCGAACTCCCCTGCCCTTTATCCAACCCCCCCTCCCCGTACCCTGCCCCCTTACCGCACTGCCTGGATCACCAGCGCCTGGCGGCGCTACAGCCGTGCCACCCAGAGCACCAGGACAGGCAGCTACGCCGCCCGGCTGGAGCCAGCCATGTCACCGCGCAGCACAGAGCACCGAGTCAGGCCCCGGCTCTGCAGCTGCGCTGCGCCAGGAGCTCACAGCCCCACCACCCAAAACATTGTGCCATCAGCGCAGTGAGCTGATGCTGCAGGGGAGAGGGAACAGCAGGGGAGCAACCAGGAGCTACCTTCCCAAGCCAGTAGCTCAGGGGCCGGGCAGGAGAGTCCCACGGGCCGTAGTTTGCCCACCTTTGATTTATCCACTTTTATGGGTCTGTTTTTGAACCTCAGATGGATGCAGATGCATTTTTTATGAATTACAAGCCTTTTAATTTCAGCTGCTTATTTTTAGTAGATTTAATAGTAAACTTGTAGAATACTTCATATTTCCACACCTCCTTAGTTTTATTATATATTGACTACTTTAATAGTGTCAAATAATATTACAAATTTTAATACCTGGGTGGGTTTAAATAAAACCTATTAATATTTATTGGTATACAATTGTTAGCTAAAAATCATTTGTTGTGTGATTTGTAACAACAGATTCAAAATCTCAATCATTTTCATTATTCTTCTTGTGCCAAATGATGAGAGCCTCACTCAGTTAACTCATGCGAACTCCCACTAAAATGAATAGATTTAATAAAAAACTTAATGACTCATTTTTGTTTTTAAAGTATCCCTCTACCCTGGTGCAGAATAGATGCATACCATTCCAATAGGAACTCTAATACTTCCCAGATCCTTCTGGTGCACTGAGACACTACACCTGCTGCAACACCATACTAGCAGCACTAACCCCCTGCGGTACTTGTACTCAGAAAGAGGAATACAAAGACTAACTGTGGCCATTCACTGTGGAGCAGGGGAGAGACTGGCTTTCACATGGGAAAAGAAAACCATTATGCTGTTCCTCCCACATGTGCAGCCCTGTGCATGTGCCCTCCATCTGATGGCATAAAGGGCAGGGCCACCCCAACCCTCTCAGTTCTTTCACCACCCAAATTTTGGTGATATTAGACTCTAGTAAATGGGATGGAACTTGGGTCATGGAATATATATATGTGTACAACACATCTTGAAGAACCAGTTATTGTACAGTTAAGTAACTATCATCTTCAAGTACTTGTACTCATATATATTCTACTGTTGGTGAGCCCAAGCAGTACTCCTTTCATGGAAGGAACTCGGAGTCTATTTAAACAGCAATGCACAACTGCCTTTCCAAAGTGTACATTGGCAATAAATGCTTCAACAATGGCATAATGTGGAGTGAACCTATGTATCTGCTTTATAAAGGTCTATGATTGGAACATTGTGCAATAATTTTTGCAGGTGGTACAATCTTTGCAAAGTCATAACAGGACCTGATGCAGGCAAAGGTCCAATCGGAAATTCCCATGCTGATAATAGATTATCTCTTTTCTCTGTGTACACTACGCAGAGTCTCAGTGAGGATCTACACTGTTTTGTCCTGTCTAAACAGAAAGTGCCCTAAAAGAATCCAGTGAGTACAACCTCTCCTCATCCCAGTGAGCGCAACCTCTCCACATCCCAGTGAGCATGTAGTTTCAGAAAGAATATTGGTAGATGTATGACCTGGTTTAGGTGGAATTCCTAGATCACCTTTGACAAGAACTTTGAAGGAGAACTTAATAAGACCTTGTCTTTGTAAACAACTGTACATGGAGGTCCTACCATTAAAGTTTATAGTGCTCCAATTCTTGTTACCAATGTTATTAAAATGAGAAAAGCTGTCTTACCTGATAAATGGAAGAGAGCATGAGTCCAAAAACGCAAGTGGCAGATCCATAACTGCTACCAGAAAGACCTTATTCTTTTAAGCCCAGCAGATATTCCAAGTACCTTGAATCTACGCTTTGGATGGTGACAGCACATGACAGTGGGCCCAAATAAAAATCTTCCCCACTTATCTAGGTAAATTGCGCTAGGTGAGCTTTTCCTGCTGTTAATAAGGATATTCTGCATATTATGAGCAGATCCCCCTCCAGTATCATTAGCCAGTCAACAACCATGCAGTGAGGGAGAGGCCGTAAGGATCTGGGTGCAGAAACTTTCTGAAATTCTTAGAGATTAAATCAGGGAACAATTGCATGGTTATGGGATGCTGTCATGACAGAGTCTGAATATCCAAAAACCAATATTGCAACAGCCATGTTAGAGTTATTAACATAATGTTGGTCTGATCTTATTTCAATTTTGTGATAAAACTAGGAATCAGTGCAATTGAAGGATATACACATAGATGTTCTGAGATGCAAAGAAGCCGGAATGCGTCTTATTGATTCTAGACTATGAATGGCCTGGAACAGAAATGGTCACACGCTGTTTTCTGTGTGTAGTGAACAGGTATAAAGCATGGATGCCCCATTTGTTAACTATAATCTGAACTATTTTGTGTTTCAGGGTCCATACATGATTGCTGATCAACTTCCTACTTACACAATCCACTAGAGCATTCTGCACTCTGGGAAGATGAGATGTTCTGAAGCAGATTTTATTTAATTTCATTTCAGGCATCCTGGCAATCTCAGACAAGTCCTCACTGTTGTACTTGGTTGAGCCTACAGATTGGTGCATATGTTTAGGATGGACTGAAACCTTTCCTGAGGCAGGTACATGGTTGCAGTAGAGTTGAGAATGGCCCCAATAAACTCAATTCTTTGTACACAAGATAATATCAACTTTTCCTTATTTCAGACCCAGTTTTGCAAAAAGCAACTGGATTTGACAGATGCTCTCTGTTAGCTGGATTGTCCACAAATTAAACTGTCCAGTTATGGGAATACGTTGTCTGAAATGAGCTGATGAGAAGCTAAATGGAAGCACTGTATATTGGTAGTGACGACCCCCACTAAAAACCTTATGTATTTTCTGTGGCTTGGGTGGATAACCACATGAAAATAAGCTGCTATTGACCTCAAGGTTGCCTAACAATCGTTTGAGTCGAAGGGCAGGATAATGAAGGCAAGGGGCACCCATCCTTAATTTTAAGCTTTCTGAAAAGATGTTCAATTTCCTTCAGTCCAGGACAGGCCTGAAAATGCCCTCTTATTTTGGGTACAAGAAAATACCAGAAGCAAAACCCTCTTCCCCTGTGCTGTAAAGGGACCTCCTTCTATTGCTCCAAGACCTAGAAGAGACTGTACATCTTGAACAGTCCAATCTTGTGATAAATCACTGAATAGGGATGTGGTAGAGGTTGGTAGCGTACAGCAAAAAGTGGAATTGGATGGTGTATTCCAATTTCACAGCGCCTAGAACCCAGAACGATTGGTGATTATGAAGTCGCAGATAGTGCAGAAATGGTACAACTGGTTCCCAGAGGAACTGGTTCCCAACTGCTCTCAGTGAAGTAGTCAAATTGTCTGTCTTGAGGCTGATGTAGGTCGATGGGTAGAGTTCATTGATGCAGATGTGGATGAATTTTTTCATGGAAACTTGTCACTCTCTGGAGAAATCAGCCTGCCAATGTTAAAAATAAAAAATATATGGAGATATACACCTATCTCATAGAACTGGAAGGGACCCTAAAAGGTCATCGAGTCCAGCCCCCTGCCTTCACTAGCAGGACCAAGTATTGATTTTTGCCCCAGATCCCTAAGTGGCCCCCCTCAAGGATTGAACTCACAACCCTGGCTTTAGCAGGCCAATGCTCAAACCACTGAGCTATCCCTCCCCTGAAAATAAATTGAAGTTTTAAAATTATGGAGATATACCTATCTCATAGAGGGATACTGGTATATCTGTTGAAAGGAGCACTGGCAGTGGCACTGTTGAGGCCCAGTAAATTAAGGTGGGGACTGAGGTATACATCTTCTTGGGGCCTGGGGTATATATTTCTAAAGATATTAGTGTCACTCTGGAGTCTTTAAGAGAGTATAAAGCCTTGTCAGTCTTTCCAATG